AAAAAAAAAAAAAAGATAAGGCCTTGGGAAGAATTTTCCTGCCCTCCCCGGCACTCTAAGCTGTGGCCTGACACCTCCCTTCATCCTTCCCAGCTCCGGCTCTTGGTTCTGCCAAAAAACTTCGGGACTTTTAGTTCCAGGCTCTCACTCCCCATTTCTTTGCATCATGACCCACGTGACCAGATACGCCGCTCGCCACTGTTTTCATTCCTTTTCGTTGCCACGGTCTTGAGGTTTCTGTCCCGATTAACTGAACACGTTCTGCAGACACATCGTCCGAATCCGTGCACAGCTGCAAATGTCCCACTTTTACCCTGACTGCCGGGTGGCACGTTAGCTGCTTACAGGACTCCAGAGCTGTGGCCCTTTTCTCCTGTGGCCCAAGATGATGTTCCTCCGGCTTCTAGCGCTCCGTGCTGCGGATGCTAAGTCGGGTGCTGGTCTGTGTCCTGTTATTAGTTATGCAACTGGCTCTTATGCAACTGGCTCTTTCTCTGGATGCTTGGAGATTTGCTTGGTGTCCTTGGGACTCAGAAACTTGTCTGGTTACCCATAGACGAGGGCCTATCCGTGTCCCTCCCTCTGCGGGCTCAGGCCTATATTCAGGTCAGGGTAGCTATTTGCTCTTCTGGTTCCTAAATTATTAGCTCTCTGCCGTCATTCCTTTTCCTCCTTCTGGAACTCCACATCTACGACCCCTCCCCACCCCCCACCCCCTGCCATGTGTTCGTCTCTTCTTGGTCTGTATTTTGAGATCTCTCTCCCCTTGACTTGTCAGGCAACTGATGGTGTCCTCAACAGGACTACTCTCTCTTAGAGTTCATCTGTTCACTGTGTTATTTTTTTTAGGTTTATTCGTTTATTGAGGGAGAGAGAGTGAGGATGAATGAGCGGGGGAGGGGCAGAGAGAGAAGGAGAGGAAGAGAATTCCAAGCAGGCGCCACGCTCCGAGCTGAGCCTGACGCGGGGCTTGATCTCACAACCGTGAGCTCGTGACCTGAGCCGAAGTCAAGAGTCGGACGCTTCACCGACTGAGCCCCCCAGGCGCCCCCGTTCATCCGTTGAATTTTAAAGCTTACAGTCCTCACCTTTGTCTGGGTAGGAAGGTGTCTGCTCTGCAGCAAAGGCTCCGGTCAAGACCTTGTTAAGCTTGTCACCCCTTCTTTCAGCTGCCTGGGTGGTCTGCTGCGTTCTCCTCCCTGACCACTGGGTCCTCTTAGGTACCTTGTTTCTTTCCTTTGCCTCCTCATGGTCCTCTTCCCATTCTGAGGTGAGCTGCAAGGGCTCAGGCAGAGGTACTGACAAATGTGGGGGGAGGAGGCAGTGGAGCCATCTCGGCCCCAGTGGGACCCCATCTCTAACTCAGGTCTTCCTGTTGCAAATCAGCTCTCACTCAGCCTCAGGAATAGGGATTAATGTAGCCTACCCATGTGGAGAACCCCCGCAGACAGGGCTGCCGGGGAAGGTTGCACAGGTCGTGCACTGCACAAGGGTACCTGGTTGAGAGTAGGAGCTATGCTCTACCCTCAAAACTCAACACACTCGTGCAGACTGTGTTTCCCTGGAGAAAGGAGCACTTCTTTCTTTCTTTCTTTCTTTCTTTCTTTCTTTCTTTCTTGACATTTTTATTTTATTTTTATTTTGTATTTAATTTTATTTTTTTTAACTTACATCCAAATTGGTCAGCAACAATGATTTCAGGAGTAGATTCCTTAATTCCCCTTACTCATTTAGCACTGCCCCCCCCCCACAACCCCTCCAGTAACCCTCTGTTTGTTCTCC